ATGAGTCTAAGGAGAGGTGCCCCCAGCCCCACTGGCTGGCATGGGGGCAGAGATGAGCCTGTCTCTCTGTGCTTCTGCCCTCTCTGCTGGCCAAGGTGGCAGCAATGGCTCTGGAAGGGCCCTGGATATGATGGATGTCCTGCCTGGCCAAGCCACAGCACCGGCTCCCACTGCCACTTATTCCCACATAGACACGCCTCTCGCCACCCTTAGGACCTGCTGAGGCCCCAGGAAACCAGCACTGGACCTACCCTCGAGCCAGCTCCCAGTTGTACCTAACGGGGAAACGGCAGCTTGAAAGACAGAGAAACCAAAGGAAGGAGAATGCCACCATCTGCAGCCAAAGCACTTGCACTCACAGCCAGCCCTGGTCTCCCAAAACAGTAACAGCAAAGCAAATCCTGGCCTCTGAGCTGCGTCAATACACAGCTTGGATTGGAAAGCACAGCCCTGGCCACTGCCCTTCACCACTCCCAGACGTCTTGCTGTCCACCTCACCTTGGGCCAGTGTGGGATGCTAAGACTTGACTATTGCTCCGTATTGCTGCCAGGGGAACTGCATAGAGACCTGGGGGACCCCACGGAACCCCCTGGGACTCCCAAGTTGGTCCTTGGGGAGATCTCTGGGACTGCTGGCTGCTTCCTGAACCCCACCAGTTGCCTTCCCAAAGCACTGACACACTCTCATGCTGGATGCCAGTGCTGGGAGCTATCCTGGGCTCCGAGCTGCTGCCCTGTGAAGCCAATGGGACTCCAGCAGGTTGGTGCCACTCACACTGGCAGCACCATCCGCACCATCCCAAATGATGCCACAGCCCCTTGGCAGCAGGAGTGCCAAGCTTGTCGTAAGTCATTTAGTGAGGCTCATTCCAAATCAGTGCTAAGGTAAACATGCTTATTATAATTATCCATGTAAAAAAAAATCAACAACAGCAGAACAACTTTCTAATATGCAATTACAGCCATCTATTGATTTTACAATGTAATCCGCTCCGATTGATTTAATAACACAATTATAGGCTGGCTCTCGGGATATTAGAGTGGGAGATTTTCATAAACTCCAAAGCAAAAAACTAAGCGGCTTTTAAAACAACACAGTCAGATGGCTGTTTGGGGAATTATTAGCAATATGAAATCCTCTAAATCTGGCCGTCGTTACCTTGTGAAAGGAATTTCTATTACAAAAATGGCAATTGACAGCCTAAGAGAGCGCGAACCGGATTGCTTTGCTGCTCTTTCAGTGCTTAATCCATCGCAAAGGTGACCACGGGGCAGGGGATGAGCAGGGTCTGATGCAGGTGGGGGGCCAGGGGCAACCCTCCCCTCCTTGCACCCCTGCCCCGGCTCTCCCTGGCACCCAGGCTGGCACCCACCAGCCCGTCCCATCAGGGTGCCCCTGCCCGGGCCTGTGGAGGCTGCCAGGGTGTGGAACCTCCTGATCCCTATCCCAGCACACCCGGGTCCCAAAAACCTCCAGGGGCCATTGGGGTGCCTGCCTGTGTCCCCAAGCCTGCGCAAGGGGACAGGGTGAAGGTGGCCCTGTGTCGTTGGCCAGCACGGCTCTGCGGGTGCTGTACAGGCTCCCGCGCGCTCCCGCTCTCCTGGCGCTCGCTCCCTCAATGTATTCCTGACTTTATGGGCACATTTTTCTTGTCAAGCTGACAGGGTTGCTAAGTGGATTTCTCCCTGATATGCGGACGGATTATCACATTACTCCAATGTCCTACACAAACATATTACTTTATATTCAATAGCCCTAATGAATATAAACTGCTTTTTCTTTTTTGGGGGTGGGGGGTAATCTATAGATTTTTAATGAGGGCACTATTAACTCCCTCCTCTTTAAAACAGACTTAGGTGCAGCCTCTGAGTAGAAAATCAATGGTGTTATTGTAGGAATATTGTATATTGATATTGTAATAATAAGATGCAATTGATTTAGGGGTGTTGTGCGGTGTGTGTGAAAGGGGTCAGCCTGGGGTTATCCTGCCTCCTGCAAACAGAGGGTGGTTCTGCCCTGCCCCTCGCCTTGTCATGCTGCTGCTGAGCATCACCCCATGTCCCCCCTGGGTTTTAACCCTTCTCCCATGTGCTTTACCATGACCCACTGCAACACTGCACCACCACGACACCCATGTCCCGGCCCTCTCTGTGTCTCGCCAAGCTTTCGCTGCAGTGACAGCCAAGGACAGCAGTATGTGCACACATGTGTGGCAGTGGAAGCCCTCTTTTAATTAGGGCTGGAGTTTGCCACCGTTCAGCATCGCTAGCTGCCCTTGTCCTTGGAGGGGGATGGACATTCCCACTGCACTCTTCTGCCAGGATGGAGGCAGAAACTCCTCAGCCCACCCAGCGCACATCCTCTGGCCACTGCAAACCCAGGATGAGCTCAAGGATTCCGTCAGCAGGAGGCTTAGCCCGCAGCCCAGGTATGATGCAGGAAGGCGGCTGCCAGGAAGAGCAATGCTCACTGGGGAGAGCACCACCTCCGCACCCACCCCAGGCTCCTGCTGGCATTTTCCCTGCCTTTCCATGGGACCAGACCACCCGGATGCCACCACCACGGGGGCTCAGAGGGCCGAGCACCACCATGACCACCATGCGCTGGGCTGAGACACAGTGCAAGGAGTGAGCTTTGCAATCCTGGAGGCCACCCCAGTGGGCTGTGGGTGGCTGGGGGAGCATAGGGCCCCCCAAATGTGCTCATTTGGAGGCAGCCCCTCCGCACCTGTGCTATGGCTGGGGAGACAGATCACCCCCGGCCCGAGCTGAGCAGGTCCATATTTAAACTGTCCCCATGCTTTATGGGCTGTACAAGAACTGATGCTCAGGCGACGAGGGGCCATTTGTCAATGTTCTAATGGCAGATTACTGTTAATGAATAATATCACTGCTGCCTTTGTATAACAGCTCCCTGC